GTGTGTGCATTGTGCACTTGAAATTAGGACTCTACCACTTAGTTTAGTTCATAGTAGAATGTAAGTGCATATGAGTAGCTCTTTGAACACACATTTGCAGTACTACCCTAAAGGAGGCTGCTTAAACCTTGTTACTGTACTTTCACAGAGAAAACTGCAAGAAGAGAGGTGGTTGAAGGTAGGAGGGAAGTCACTAGGGAAGGAAAAACAGGGATGACACTAGATACTATAGATCAACTGATGTTCCTTTTCTCCTCATCCTTCTGTACCTGCTCTCCTCCCAACTCCCTCATATCTCCATTGACCGGCACTGCATCAAACTCAGGCCAATTTAGAAGGTATTTGCTCTCCCATTAAAGTGCATGTTCAGCGCTACTTTCATCCCTTTCCTCTTATGTTTTTTTCTCCTCGTTGTCCCCAAGCGAACAGCCAGCCACATCTTCCCTTACATCAATAAAGGCCAAATAAAATTCTGCTTTTTTAAGGGCACCACAGTTTAGACTCCCTGCAAGACAAAAATAATGTCTGGAAACCTCCAGGAGAAACCCAAACGGAGAACACAAACATCCAGATCATCTTATTTCTGGGTGCAGTTCTCCCTGTAACAGTGATCCCATTCTAGTGATGGACCGGAATGAGATCTGGAAGTTTTTCTTCTTTCTCTGTTTGTTTTAACAAAGTGATCCACATGCTGTAGAAAGCGTGAGGTGCAGGGAAACGGGAGGAAAGCAATGTTACTGGGGATTTACTGGAGATGCAGACAAAAGTATTTTGACAGTTTCATCTTATCAGCAAGTATAAAGTTAAACCTCCCTTTTTTGTTTTTCTCTGCCATGTAGCCTTTTCTCCACACTATCCAATTATTTCCTGCCCCATACACAAAACATTTATTCAAACACATTCATACAGCAGGACTGCAGCAAAGTAAATACTTAAATCTGCACACACACACATTCGCATGCTTAAATAGACAAAAATGAGCAGTGTTGTTATGATAGATGCATGGTTTTTTTTTTTTCCTTCACACATGGAAATCCTTGTTGCTGACTTGTAATGGATACATGATGAGTTCCTTTGCAGGCAAAGTAACGCTTAAAAGGAAGAAGAGAGAGATATAAATTAGGCAAATAAGCCAGGCCAAGCAATTATCGTGCTGAATGTTTACAACGTGTGTTTAATAAAGCCCCCCCCCTCCTCACTTGTATGTCTCTGGCCTGAACAAATGAATGGCACAAATTTGCCATTGGAATCTACATGAAAAGAAATTAAAACAGGCAGAAAGAAAGTGACTGATAATGGCAAACTTTCTCCCAGCATTGCCATTCAGTGAAACTCCATCAGTAGCCATGGGAGGCAGCCACAAATGTTTCCAGCTTTTGTTACCCAATGATTTATAGTCGGTCACTGTGTCCTTGAGGTGTTAGTGTAGATTTCCTGCAAACCAATGGGTGGGCTCTGTTACTGTATTGTGTTGCTCAGAGTGGGCTGTTGATGTGGTTTTTTATGGTATTGTGATCGTCCTCCTAATTATAGAGAACAAAGAGCTGAGAGGTGAATGGTTTGGTTGACTGGTCGTGTTCCGGGGGAGAAGGCAACGAGAAGGAGATGGAAGGCAGAGAGCGGGTCTCCTCTGAGAGACTCATACACTGTGATAGAAGACTGTGAAGACGCAGGGTTTTCCATCATGTGATACATTTTTCAAAGCAGTAAACGACAAATTGCCCACTTAACAATAATATACTGCCATGTATATTCCTGCAGTGCCTCCAACATTCATCAAACTAGAAAGCACATTAAATCGTTTCTGTGTCCAAGTCGAGAGCGTAACGTTTTATTAAGGTGGTGGAAGCGTTGAGCTAGAAGAAACAAAACAGTTGGAGGTCCAACTTTGCATCCAAAGCTAAATTTGTGCTCATTTCACGGATTTCATGTCACATAAATCCTCTGTGGTTTTTGCAGGCTCTGAGCTGGATGCTGTTTGGTTGGTAATGCTCATTGGCATTCAACCACTGCTGGTGTGCAGCAGAGCACAGCGGCATGTTATAAAGAGAGGGGTTTGTTGAACAGAGAGAATGAGTAAACTGCAGCAAAATATTAGTAAATACACTGTAAAGCTTGGAATCGAAACTCTGGACTTTGTGGCCACATAGAACAACTGAAACTGAAAGCTGGTCTCACCAGACTCATCTGAGTCAGGTTTCCACATTCAGTGATTCATGTCTTGATTTAAATACTAAACTCTTTTTTTTAGTTTATTTCATATTTCATATTTGTGATTATGACGTGTATTTTACATTATAGTTACTTACTTTTATTGAATTTCTCTGTTTGTTAACCCATGTAAAGTGTCTTTGAGCATCGTTAAAAGCTCTGTATAAATAAAATGTATTATAATTATTATTATTGTTATTACTGTTAATTAGGCAAACGTGTATAGCTATTGTGTTGCAGCATTTAACATAGGTGAAGTTTTCAGTTTTTAAGCTTTTTTGTTTTCTTGTAAACAAAGTTTACATTTGGTAAATCATTGAGAACACAAAAACATTGCTGTCAGTACTAGTGGTCAAACTTCACATTTTATTACTTAACTTACTTGTGTCTGTATAATGAGGCTGACACAAGTTTCGTTGATACACACAAACACAAAGTCCTGTCTCATGCGATGGCATTGTATCAATATTATGTTCTCTCCACCCTGCTCTGTTCCTGTTTGCACAGCCCAGTCAATGTTCCCACCCACTGATCGCTCATGACGGAAATCCCAGACAGTAGTTATTCTCTGCTCTCTCTCTCTCTCTCTCTCTCTCTCTCTCTCTCTCTCTCCCTCTCTCTCCCTCTCTTGCTCTATTTGTCTTTCACAGCCACACTGTCTTAAACTTGTTAAACTAACCTCAGCCTCCTCAGCTGTCGCAGTCTTTCTCACAAAGGAAGATGTGTAATTAGGTTTTCTGTTGATGTCACTTTTGACCCTCTTCTGTTTCCCTCTTGTTCACTCGTCACTTTCTCTTCCTCTCTTCCTCTTGACGTCTGCTTCAGAGGAACTGGTGTGTGTATAACTACACTAACTACACACATGCACACACACTTTTCTCCCACTCTAAAACCATTACAACCAATTTGACCAGATTTTAAATGGGAGCTGATGCTGATATTAGGGTGTAGAAAAAAATGCATATATAATTTATACTTGTTTCATCAGAGAAAACTTCATTTGCATCTGTATAAGTTACGTTTGGCGGTATGACACTGTTCTGGGACCTCCCTGTCCTTCCACTTGCATAAACATGGAAAGCCTGATTAAGACAGGGAGAGCGGCAGCAAGACTTCCAAGGGAAACAGTAGAGAGCGGGCATCAATGACAACAGAATTGAGACTGAATAATCAAACGCAGCATGAAAAAAGGGGGAGCTGGGGTGGAAGTGGGTCGCAAAATGGCTTTCAGAGGACGCAGAACAAGTGAGCAGGCTGAAGCAGCTTAAATAAGGCGACTTGTCTGAGCTTTGCCAATAAATGCGTGGATAAGAGTCAGCTGAGCCCTCAGCTCATGTAGCTGTGAATCCTCATGTCTGAGAAGCTGCATTTTTCAGTGTTTTGCAGATTTAGCCGAACAAGGCTTTTTTTTCAAGGCAATGCAATTTAGAGATTCTTGATGAAACTGTTGGTGAGGATGATGTGTGATGCACAGTTTTACTGTGGCTTATGGCTTAAGAAGTTGGCTTTAGCATTGTTTTGCTCACAGTAAGATGTTTCATTTGAGAAAAAACTAAATTGTGAAAGCCTTACATTCATGCTTCAGGAGGTCAAAACAATTCTTATTTTTTTTACGCTAAATAATAACATACATTTATCTCAGGACACTTTACTTTGAGAAAACCCAACAGTTCCCATAATGAGCAAGCACTTGGCAACAGTAGGGAGGAAAAACTCCCTTTTACAAGGATTAAACCTCACACGCAGGGTGGGCGACCATCTGCCTCCACCAGTCGGATTGAAAGGAGAGAAATGGGGGAGAGAGGAAAGCGAGGATAAAAAAGATGGGAGAGTTGTGTAACTGCTCTTTTTAAACACAGTCAAACTGGTTGATAATAATAGCAATTCTCAAAAATAATGTTATGATGTGATCAATGATAACAGCAGCAAAGATAATAAAAACTTTCAGAATATTTTTAGCCATTTGAAGTCCATAACTGTTAAACATTCCCAGCGGACACACACACACAGAGGCAAAATCAATAAATAATGAATGGTAATTGGCTCATCCATACATAATTGATACTTTCAGTTACCACTAAGAAGCCCCACCTGAGTATGTTTCTGTGTACCCAGTGGTGCAGTGTCACATATATGTCACACATGACAGGAATGACTTTTCCCATCTGCTGGGTCTGTCTCTGTTCTTCCACGTGATTTTTCTGAAACATATTGTGTGAGCGATGTTGGGTGGCTGTTAATGTTTGGAGACATGCTCTCTCTCTTTCTGACACATTGCCGGCTATTCACATGCTGTACATCCTTGAATGTTATCTCCACCTGTCGCTGCACTGGCAGGAAACCCTTCTCTTGCTTCAGATAAGCAAATGTAGTGCACGCTCCAGACTCACTGTGCTTCCTTATCAGGGATGTTCTTTAGATGAATAACAGCATATTTTCACTGTTGTACAAGGAGTCATGGTTCTAGTTTAGCAACGTGCAACTTTAAGCAACTTTTATATTTGTTTATCTTCCCTCCAGGCACAGACCAATCAATGGAAACATGACCTAACTATGCAGCAGAGAATACCAGAGATGCTTCTTACTCCCTGTGGGAAATGTTGACATAGCCTTTGAGAAATCAATTAATTGCTTAATCATTTATCAAACAAAAAGGCCAAACATTGACTTGTGTGGATCTGCTGTTTTTTCTGTTTCATGTTATTGTGAAGTACAAACAATTAAGTGAGAGAGTTATTTTCTTCAGACATAAATAACACCCGTTGGCTTCTTTTCTCACATTCCGGCAGATCACCACTCTGATCAACCATAAAGACAAGCCCAAGAAGTCTGAGCGCACCCTGGCAGCCATACACAGGGTGGGCCAGGCAGTGAGTGTGGCGGTGGGACGCTTTGTTGCTGTTGGGGAAGCCATCGCCACTGAGAACCAAGAGCTGAAGGATGAAATGGGCCAAGCCTGCTTCGAGGCACGCAGAGCAGGTAAGTTACTCTGGCTTGATCTCATTATGTTCTTGACATTTTACTGAATTGCTGCTTTCGTAATTGTCAGGTGTTTCCTGGTGGCTCTTATTTTGTTATAACAAATTTTATCTTGTAAAGATCTGTGAGAGTTCATCATCCTCAAGGTTTCTTCACACTACATCCAGAAAGCCTGTAGCTTTATGACGAGGGAGTTAAAGCCGGTTGATCACTAGGATTTAAGTTATTGGCCCCTCATCTGTTCTTATTTGTTCTAACAAACTGTGACAGTTTCATAAAGCATCAGACTTCACCTTCAGGCTTCACAGTGTTATCAAATTTGAGCAAACTTCGATTAGTCTGGACAGCCCGGTTGTCAAGTGGTATTACACCAGGGGACCTCAGGAGTGCTCTAAAGAGATGGTTGTTATTAGATTGGAAGTACAGGCTGCAAAAAAGAACACTGCTTCTTCACCCAAGAGTGCCGTGTAGAATAAGGGGATTTAATGTGTCCGCACTGAGTTGGAAAGTAATGCATAATAAATTCTGATAGAAAGGATCTTGGCAACTTTATGCACCAGGCTGTTGGCAAAATCTAAGGAGTTCTAGTTTTCCTAATATGCACCAACTCAAATATTGCATCTGTGTTACGCAAAGAGGAATAAATCAAGTGTTAAAACTGAGTGAGACAAAAGAGGTACAGAGTTTCAAGGGCAATAGAAACAGTGACACCAAGGGTGAAGAAATAAGAAAGTATGGTTCACTGTTTCAGGGATGACTGTCAGGTTTTACTGAGGTGACGACTTTGTTAATTGTTTTTAACATGTTTCTTTCAGGTAACTTTTTCTGTTAAGATGTCTTAAAACACACACTCAAGGCACAGATCATAGTCCTGTGTGTTGTCGTGTCCGTCTAAACGTGTTTTTTGCAGATCGGCGAAAACTCCTCTTTATATCTCTGCAAATTAGTTCATATCTGGCAAAAACAATTACCGCATTTAGCCTTCTCCAGAGCAGCCTGGAAACAATATCACAAGGGATAAGAATTTAGACACAACACTGTGATAATAGGTTTGTATTGTGGGGGAACCAGTTTGTGTAGCAAAGCGTTTAATCCTCGCCCAGCGCTAATTTGCAAAGACGGCTAAAACTCCGACAAAGAGAGTGCTGGTGGGAGAAGGAGGAGGAGAATGGACCGATGAGAAAATGTGCATGTGTGTGCATATGTCAGGCCAAGTGAAGTATATGTGTGTTTGTCTGTGTTGCCCACTGTGACTAATTTATTCCACCTCTCACTTTTCCTCCTCGAGAGGTGTTTTCACAGTTTTCTCTTGCACCTCTCCTGACAGACACTGTACATCTGTCTCCTGATTTATCTTTTCAATAACTTTTTGATCTCATCTCTGTCCATATTTTAAAAATGATGGAGACATCTTGAGGGATAAAAGAGAAAGTCCTCTTGAGATTCTTTTAAGTCTCTGGGAGAAAGAAGGGCTAGTTAGTGAAGGATTGACATTATCTCTAATACCTAGCTACAGGGAGAGTTTAATCAGGCAGGCTTCGGCCTTGTGTGCTATAATGAATGAAATAAAGGGAGGCTGAGAGCACTAGTTTAATTAGATGCTACCCATCATCAGTGGTGCAGAGATCCAATGAGGCAGGTCAGTGAAGGCAATCTGTGTTGGATCTCTGTCTCTGTCTCTTTCATTCAGCCTCTCGGTGTCACTCTCACATTCGCGTGCTTTCCGTATCACTCTGTCTTTCTCGCTCAGAACGATTCACAATTCCAGGGACGGTGATCAGGAACAAGATGAACTCATAGCAGATGCAGTATGTGAGTGTTTAGATGCTGATGTACATGTGGATTACACATTATGTAAATAGCTAATTAAAAAAGATTGGATTAAATGTCTTATAAGGGCTTTACCAATACATCAGGGATTAGTTTCTCTCGAGTACAGAACAAGTTGAATTTATTTAACCTGATACACAAAACAGTAAAATACAAAACATCTTTTTAGAAATGAACAGAAGATACAGAGTTCCTGACATTAGTATTGGTGAGGGTTGAGCTGGGTCAGGCCTGCCAGTGTCATGGGGGTGGGTGGGTGGGTGGTGATGGTGTTTTGGGGGAGAGGGGTGTTGTGCAGCATTCTTTGTGCGCCAGGCCTCTATGTTTTTAACTGTTTAACAGAGCTGGCACCGAAAAGCAGCCTGTCGGATGCAATCAGTTCGCCGGCAATGCTTCTTTTAAAGGACCAGCCAAACCAAACAGACAGCCAGGCTGCCTGACCCCATAGAGACCCATCTCCCAGTCCCCCCCTGGCCTTCTGAGCTCTATTCTGAGATTTCTCTCTCTCTCGCTCTTAACTCCTGACATTTTCCTCTTGATGGGGACTTTTCTTGTGATGGATTTTCAGCCTAAAAAAGGACTTTGCATTCTTCCCCTTTTAGATGGAAAGTTGGACTATTTTTTTTGCATTTGCATATTCCTTATATGAGTTTGCTCAACTGTGTTTGCCAATTGTGGCTGGCATGTTTGTCTAAGTTGTGCCCCCCCTCAAAAACAGCTCACACCACTCAGATAGCATGCCAGCAGTGTTTGGGTCAGGTTTGCATAACTGCCATACCACTGTGCTGAATATAGGACTGTTTCATTCCGTCCAGGACAGTGTGTTCTCCCAGAGGTGAAGAGTGGCAGAAGAACATTGTGCCAAAATGCATTCTGGAATAAGAACTATAATAAGGAGCAAAGTTAGAAAATTCTCTTGACCACCCCATCCTTCCATTTTCTGCCTCCACATTTAGAGGCAAAGCAAAGTAGCCTGGAGGTCTTTCTGCCCAGCCACATCCTGCAGCTCTTGCTGGGGCATCCTGAGGCACTCCCAGGCCAGATGAGATATGTAAGCCCTCTAGCATGTTCTGGCTCCGCACCCCATCTGGGAGAATACTCTGTCTGAATTGTCTTGTGGTTTAACCAGAAAGTCTTCAAGCCCAACCCAAAGTAATTTTCCACTTTTCAAACTGAACTCCAGGTTCTCCCAAACTGCACCACCTCTTTCTCACCTGCTCACACACATTTGTTGATTCAGCAAGCTGAAAAACAAGCCTCTTCTGAGGACTGACCTCATCTGGTTGTTTTTCTCTTCTCTCTCTCCATTTATATATAACACGAGCACGAAAATCATCACTGAGCAACACTATATCCTTATCTCTCCTCTTTTCAGGTGATGCCATAGCCCAGCTGACAGATGTGGGATCGGTGTTGCCCTCCCAGTCAGATGGATGTGTCACCGTGTTCAGTGATAGGACAGGGATGGTGAAAGCTGCGCGCTTGCTCCTCTCTTCAGTCACTAAAGTGCTGGTGTTAGCTGACCGCATCGTTATCAAACAGATAATCACATCACGGAACAAGGTGAGGCGTGCAGACTTGAAGGATTATGCATGATTTCTCTTTATCAAACTAAAGCTATCTCTGCCCACATGAGCGCCCTGGCTCTGTTTCTACCCCAGACTGAATTGTAGCCCTGGAGTTTTCACTCTAAAACAGGCCAACAGTGTTTTCAATGTCTCCATTTTAGCTGCTCTATAAATCCAAGGTTTGTGTGGATGCCAGGTGTATCCATTGCAGAGTTGATGTAGTAGCATGGATGCAGCCCCTGCACACACCTAGTGGTGCACACGAACACACACACACCTTTGCAAACCCCACTCCTAGTCCTTTATTCCCTAATAGATAAGCACTGGCTCTTTGAAAGAGCACTCTGGAGGTAATTGAAGGAAAGCAGCACATTTAGCGAACACAAAAAACACAGAGCCATAGAACCCCCCCATTCTTCCCCTCAGTCGTACCTGCGGATGCTCTTAGCCAGACTGTGATATGGATGTAGCTGTAGACTGAGCCAAGAATGGAAACAGGGGGCCTAGTAATGACTGGTTAGCCTCGTTTGGACAGGCAGTCAGCAGCCCCCTGTTCTCCATTACTGGCAAACACAATTACATCTCTTCCTCTTCTTTGTCTGGTGTGGAGCTGCTGGGTTAGTGCTGCCAGCTAACTTCCCCCACCAGCTAAATTAGCACCTTCATCGCTACTATTAGTGAAATGCAGGTTAGGAACTACATAATCTGCTAGTTTTATTTTTAGGGTTATCACACATCACACTGATGAACACTCTGCAACCTTTTCACCTTAAAATAGCAGCTTAAAAATTAGTTTGATGGCTCAGTGACTTGGAATATTAAGAATTGAGCCACTATGATCTCCACTGAGAACTGTGTAACTGATAGCAGCTTAAATTGTCAGAATCAGGTGAGTTTAAGAGTAATGCTGAATTGTAAATCAGTTAAAAAGACGCGGAGGTAATTAAAAAACAAAGTTTTTCAACAATAATGAGCGTGAAAACTGTAATGATTGCGCTTTTAACACGCAACAGAGGAGAACTGAAAAACAATCAAAAAGAAAAGAAATATCTCCCAGTGAAAAAGCGGTGACACACACGTAGAAGACAGTGATGAAGATGTCAGTGATAAGAGCCGACACCTGTGTCAAGAAAATCACTTGATCTACGCAACGGAGTTAATACATCACTTCCTGCCTCTGCCTGCTGCACCCGGCTGCTCCACCTCGTCTGAATAATGCGGAGGATTTGTTGCTTTTGTGTATGAGTCTGTGCAGAGAAGCTCCCGCTGCGTTGTGCATGTGTGAAAGGCAAACTCTGTTCAAACTCCATAGCCAATTCTCTGGATTTTACCTGCAGGTCATGTCTATAGTGTCAGAATCTAAAAGAAAAACGTAACTATATGAATATATTAGTTTAATAAATGCTATTCTTGGCTCTGTCGTAAGGTAAAAATTCACTCTTGGAATATAAACATGTTTTGGATGGTTTTACAACTTCTGCTGATACCCTGCAACATCAGAAAGGCCTTAAAGAACACAAACCATATGTGGCCGTTCACCGCACTGCTCTGATCTCCTGGCTCCTCACAGGTCCTGGTAACCCTTGACCATCTGGAAAGAGTCAGCACCTTCCAGGAATTTGTTCAGATTTTCAGCCAGTTTGGCAACGAGATGGTGGAGTTCGCCCACCTCACTGGAGACAGACAGAACGTGAGTAGCATGTCAA